AGGGTTTCCTGCTTAATTATCCCCAGAAACAAATTGAAGAGAATTGAAGACTGTAGGGAGAGTATGAAACCCTTGTCTGACGCCGATAATAGTCTGGAAGAAATCTCCTTGATGCCATAGCCTGAATGACTTGTATGAGCCCTTATTCTATGTTGAATCCTCTGAGGACCAGCCAAAGGCAATCTTGCCATAGCCGATCAAATGCTTTATTGAAATAAATGCAATTGTGGAACAGGTCCCTCTGGTTTTGCATATGTTTCTCGATGAGGACGTAATAGTTGAAGATTATTATTAACATTGATCGATATAATTTTTTTGAAATTTCATAAAATTAAATTTAATTCCAAATTAAATAAGTAGTGGGTAAGAAATGTACAAATTTCATAAATGTAAAAATTTCATAAAATTAAATAATTAGTGAGTAAGAAATGTATAAACTTCATAAATGTAAAAATTTCATAAAATTAAACAAGTAGTGGGTAAGAAATGTATACATTTCATAAATGTAAAAATTTCATAAAATTAAATAATTAGTGAGTAAGAAATGTATAAACTTCATAAATGTAAAAATTTCATAAAATTAAACAAGTAGTGGGTAAGAAATGTATACATTTTATAAATGTAAAAATTTTATAAAATTAAATAAGTAGTGGGTAAGAAATGTACAAATTTCATAAATGTAAAGATTTTATAAAATTAAATAAGTAGTGGGTAAGAAATGTACAAATTTCATAAATGTAAAAATTTCATAAAATTAAATAATTAGTGAGTAAGAAATGTATAAACTTCATAAATGTAAAAATTTCTTAAAATTAAACAAGTAGTGGGTAAGAAATGTATACATTTTATAAATGTAAAAATTTTATAAAATTAAATAAGTAGTGGGTAAGAAATGTACAAATTTCATAAATGTAAAGATTTTATAAAATTAAATAAGTAGTGGGTAAGAAATGTACAAATTTCATAAATGTAGAAATTTCATAAAATTAAATAAGTGGTGGGTAAGAAATGTAAAAAAATCATAAAATTAAATAAGTAGTGGGTAAGAAATGTACACATTTTTTTTCGCAGATATTTTCTAAAAAAAAAATTTAAAAAAATAAGTTCTGCAAGTTTTACTCAAATCCAACAATTATCCTATTATTGCAAAAATGTCCAAATCAATTTGCGTTCACCGCAAAAAAAGACATACAAATTGATGGTCTCCTGTTGACGCCAGAAAAAGAATAAAATTCTTTACAAAAATTCCGAAGGTTCTAGAACGGGTTAAAAAAAAATTAAATATAAAGGATATTTGATCTTTTTTCTTAATAAAAACACAAAACATTTTAAACCCTAAAAAGATTTTTCATCGTGGTATTCTCATTATTTAGCAAATCTTTATATATAGGATGATTGAAAAGTAACTCCTTATTTTATGTATGATGAACTCTCCTAGCTATGTGTTGTAACCAAGAAAGGTATATAACACTATCTATTTCAGTTCAGGTCCAATCTATCTATCTATCTATCTATCTATCTATCTATCTATCTATCTATCTATCTATCTATCTCAGTCTGTTCATATCCTATCTATCTATCTATCTATCTATCTGTTGTAAGCTAGAAAAGATTACTGAATGAGGACTAACCAAAGCATAGGTTGGAAATGAAATGATAATCTTTATAACATCAGCAAAATACAATACTCGCCAGCGGCATGAAATAGGTAAACCACTGCCAGTGGTGCACTACTTAGACAGCATATTATACCCACTTAGTTTATAGGTACGGTATATAACACTGTCTATCTCAGTTCAGGTTATATCTATCTATCTATCTATATATCTATCTATCTATCTATCTATCTATCTATCTATCTATCTATCTATCTCAGTCTGTTAGCATCTATCTATCTATCTATCTATCTATCTATCTATCTATCTATCATCTATCTATCTATCTATCTATCTGTTGTAATTTAGGAAGGGTTACTGAATAAGGAATAACCAAAACGGAGGTTGGAAATGAAATGGTAATCTTTATAACATCAACAAAATATAATATTGGCCAGCGCCGTAAAGTAGGTAAACCACTGCTAGTGGTGGACTACTTAGACATCATATTACCCCCACTTACAATAGTGTGCGACGTATTTATGAGGATTGGTACAAATCCATTAGTGTTCATAGCTACGGTATATAACACTATTTCAGTTCTATCTATCTATCTATCTATCTATCTATCTATCTATCTATCTATCTATCTATCTATCTATCTATCCGTTGTAACCTAGAAAGGGTTACTGAATGAGGAATGACCAAAACGGAGGTTGGAAATGAAAATGGTAATCTTTATATCATCAACAAAATACAATAATCGCCCGCGGCGTGAAGTAGGTAAACCACTGCCAGAATTGGTTACTACTTAGCATATTACGATATTTACCTGCCACCAGACGAGGTAGGATGCGGCACAAGGACAAATATAAATTGGGAAAATCCGATCCCGTAGGCTCAGGCAAATATTGCCCGTAGACCCCGCATAAGCGGGATCGGGTATTCCGTTCATCCCCTCACGAGTCTCTGCCTTCGGCATAGCCTATGATTTTTACAAGACGGGTGAATCCAACATACATCATAAATTAGGAAGGAATTATCAGTAACACATATATATATATATATATATATATATATATATATATATATATATATATATATATATATATACACGAGCCGATATTTCAGTTCAGTCATTTTGTTATACTGATTTTAGAATGTTAGACTAAAATCTTTAGATTCACATTTGTTTCTTCGACACAACACAGAATAAAATTAGTGAAAATTAAGTACTTGACAATACTTAAGACTATTACTACTTGGCGGAAAAGCAAGAGAAATAAGATGAAAGAAATACTAGTGAAAAATGAATAATAATTGCCAAGGCTTCATCTAAGAAATTCAGACAACTTAAGACTATTACTACTTGGTGGAAAAGCAAGAGAAATAAGATGAAAGAAATACTAGTCAAAAATGAATAATAATTGACAAGGTTTCATCTAAGAAATTCAGACAACTTAAGACTATTACTACTTGGTGGAAAAGCAAGAGAAATAAGATGAAAGAAATACTAATCAAAAATGAATAATAATTGACAAGGTTTCATCTAAGAAATTCAGACAACTTAAGACTATTACTACTTGGTGGAAAAGCAAGAGAAATAAGATGAAAGAAATACTAATCAAAAATGAATAATAATTGACAAGGCTTCATCTAAGAAATTAAGATAACTTAAGACTATTACTACTTGGTGGAAAAGCAAGAGAAATAGGATGAAAGAAATACTAATCAAAAATGAATAATAATTGACAAGGTTTCATCTAAGAAATTCAGACAACTTAAGACTATTACTACTTGGTGGAAAAGCAAGAGAAATAAGATGAAAGAAATACTAGTCAAAAATGAATAATAATTGACAAGGCTTCATCAAAAAAATTCAGACAGTTTAAGACTATTAGTACTTGGTTGAAAAGCAAGACAAATAAAATGAAAGAAATACTAGTCAAAAATGAATAATAATTGACAAGGTTTCATCTAAGAAATTCAGACAACTTAAGACTATTACTACTTGGTGGAAAAGCAAGAGAAATAAGATGAAAGAAATACTAATCAAAAATGAATAATAATTGACAAGGTTTCATCTAAGAAATTCAGACAACTTAAGACTATTACTACTTGGTGGAAAAGCAAGAGAAATAAGATGAAAGAAATACTAGTCAAAAATGAATAATAATTGACAAGGCTTCATCAAAAAAAAATTCAGACAGTTTAAGACTATTAGTACTTGGGTTGAAAAAGCAAGACAAATAAAATGAAAGAAATACTAGTCAAAAATGAATAATAATTGACAAGGTTTCATCTAAGAAATTCAGACAACTTAAGACTATTACTACTTGGTGGAAAAGCAAGAGAAATAAGATGAAAGAAATACTAATCAAAAATGAATAATAATTGACAAGGTTTCATCTAAGAAATTCAGACAACTTAAGACTATTACTACTTGGTGGAAAAGCAAGAGAAATAAGATGAAAGAAATACTAGTCAAAAAAATGAATAATAATTGACAAGGCTTCATCAAAAAAAATTCAGACAGTTTAAGACTATTAGTACTTGGTTGAAAAGCAAGACAAATAAAATGAAAGAAATACTAGTCAAAAATGAATAATAATTGACAAGGTTTCATCTAAGAAATTCAGACAACTTAAGACTATTACTACTTGGTGGAAAAGCAAGAGAAATAAGATGAAAGAAATACTAATCAAAAATGAATAATAATTGACAAGGCTTCATCTAAGAAATTAAGATAACTTAAGACTATTACTACTTGGTGGAAAAGCAAGAGAAATAAGATGAAAGAAATACTAGTCAAAAATGAATAATAATTGCCAAGGCTTCATCTAAGAAATTAAGACAACTTAAGACTATTACTACTTGGTGGAAAAGCAAGAGAAATAAGATGAAAGAAATACTAGTCAAATATATATAATAATTGACGTTGCAAAATTTCATTATGCATTTTTGTCCCTATAATTTTGCAATTTAATATTTGTTATTAACAGTTGTATTATTATTATTATTATTATTATTATTATTATTATTATCCTTAAACGACTTTCTAATTGTTCGAACCTTTATCTATTCCTTATTTATTTAATGGTTCTTGTTTCAGTTGTTAAACTCTCTTCGGGGAAATCGACCTGATAACATATCTTTCCGATCACGGCGACGACGACGACGACGAGTGGATGGTGTTCTCTGCTCGCTATGGCTGTAAAGCAAACAGAAGAAATGGATTTAAAAATCTCCCTCCCGTCATCCTCTTTTCATTAGAAAACCATCCTCTTTTCCCTGTTCTTCTCCTCCTCATTCTTCCTCTTTGTTCTTTTTTTTTCCCTTGTCTCTTTTTTTTTCTTTCTCTTCTTTTCTTTATCCCCGCTCCCGCCGATGTTTTTCCCGCCAACTTCAGACACTTTCACGGCCGTTCGTGTCCGAGATAAGGCCTCGCGTTTTGCAGCTTAAAAGTTGACAGGATGAACGTTGTCGGTGAATTATAAAATTATCTCTCGGGTCTGGGTTAATAACCCTATTTGATAGTGGGATTAAAAGAAGCCCTCTCCCAGAAGCAAACTGAAGCTTGTCGGTACCATCGTTGGCCATTTGGTTTCCAATATATATATACACCCGCTCTGAAGGAAGCTGTAGACTAAAGACTGTACGTAATTTAAAAAGAGAAAGATTAAGGAAAACAGAAGGAGATTGAGAATGAAGAAAAAATTCAGCAAGAAAGAAAGAAAAAGAATGAAAAATAACATGTAAAAAGAGAAAAAAGGAAGAATAGATGAAGACAAAATACAATAAGCTAAGAAAGAAGAACAAGAAAAAGGAAGGAAGGAAGGTACTTAGGAAGGAAGGAAGGAAGGAAGGAAGGAAGGAAAGAAGGAAGGAAGGAAGGAAGGAAGGAAGGAAGGAAGGAAAGAAAGAAAGGGAAGAAAAGATAATCGGAAACCTCGTGAGGCATGAAGAATGAAGAAAGTGTAATGCAAGCTGAGAAAGATAAAGAAATCGGGAACGAAATGAAAATGAAAAAAAAAGAAGACATTTTCATTTTTGTTTATTTCCAAAGTGCAAAGAAATAATAATAAAACAGGACTGTAGAAATAATATACGAACAGAAATAAGAAAAATAAGAAATAAGTGAAAAGGAAGAAATAAAGAAAGAAAGAAAGAAAGAAAGAAGAGATAGAAAGGGGAGATAGAAAGAAAGAAGAGATAAAAAGAAAGAAAGGAGAGATAGAAAGAAAGTAAAGGAATGAAAGAAAGAAAGAAAGAAAGAAAGAAAGAAGAGATGAAAAGAAAGAAAGACGAGATAGAAAAAAAGCAAAGAAAGAAAGAAGAGATATAAAGAAAGCAGAGAAGGAAAGAAAGAAAGAAAGAAAGAAGAGATAAAAAGAAATGAGAGATAGAAAGAAAGAAAATAAAGAAAGAAAGAAAGAAAGAAAAAAGAAAGAAAGAACAGATGAAAATAAAGAAAGAAAGGAGAGATAGAAAGAAAGCAAATAAATAAAGAAAGAAAGAAAAAGGAAAGAAAGAAGATGAAAATAAAGAAAGAAAGGAGAGATAGAAAGAAAGCAAAGAATGAAAGAAAGAAAGAAATAAAGAAAGAAAGAAAGAAAGAAGAGATATAAAGAAAGAAAGAAAGAAAGAAAGCAAAGAAATAAGAGATAGAAAGAAAGCAAAGAATGAAATAAGAGATATAAAAAAAGCAGAGAAGGAAGAAAAGAAGAGATAAAAAGAGAGAAATGAGAGATAGAAAGAAAGTAAATAAAGAAAGAAAGAAAGAAAGAAAGAAAGAAGAGATAAAAATAAAGAAAGAGAAGAGAGATAGAAAGAAAGCAAAGAATGAAAGAAAGAAAACAAGAAAGAAAGAAAGAAAGAAAGACGAGATAAACAGAAATCAAAGAAGGAAAGAAGAGATATAAAGAAAGCAGAGAAAGAAAGAAAGAAAAAAAGACGAGATAGAAAGAAAGCAAAGAAAGAAAGAAAGAAAGAAAGAAAGAAAGAAAGAAAGAAAGATAGATAGAAAGAAAGAAAGAAAGCAGGGATGAAAATGGAGGGAGATAAAGAAGACAGTGACAAAATAAAGAAAAGAAAGACTTCTTTGTTGTTAAAAAATAAAAAAAGGCGGGAATAATACTATCAGAAGAACAGATTAATAAAAGAAAGAAAGAAAGAAAGAAAAGCAAAGAAAAGAAAAAAAGAAAGAAAGAAAGAAAGAAAGAAAGAAGATAGAAAAGAAAGAAGACATTTTCTTTGCTGTTAAAAAATAGAAAAAACGGCGGGAGTAATACTTTAAGAAGAGCAGATTAATAAAAGAAAGAAAGAAAAGAAAGAAAAAGAAAGAAAGAAAGAAAAGAAAGAAAGAAAAGATAGAAAGAGAAGAAAAGAAAGAAAAGAAAGAAAGAAAGTAAAGACAGAAAATAAAGAAATAGAATTTAAAGAAAGAAAAAGGTAAAAAGTTCAAACGAGTAAGAATTGAATTAGTTAAATCGATAAATAAAGTAGATAATGAAAGAAATAAAGAAAGATTGTAAGAAAAAAGAAAGTGGATAAACAAGGAAGGAAAGAAAAGAAGGAAAGAGAAAAGAAAGTTATGAAAGGAAAAGTGAAAGAAAGAAACCAAAGAAAACTTACTTTACTTACAAGTGTAAAGAAGGAAAAGAAAGAGAAGAATGTAAAAATGAAAGAAAAAAATGAGTTAAAAAAAGGATTAGAAAGAAAGGAAGGAATGGAAATAATGATGTAGGTAAAGAAGAACGCAAAAAAGAAAGTCAAGAAAAGAAAAAGAATGAAAAAAACAAAGAAAGAAGAGAGTAATGAAAAGATAAAAAAGGAAGAAGCTAAAGAAAGAAAGAAGATGAAGAAGGAAAGTAAAGAAAGAAAGCAGTAAAAGAAAAAATAAAGAAGAAATGCAAAGAGGAACAAACGAAAGTTGTGAAATAAAGCAATAAAGAAAGAAAGTCAAAAAGAAAAAGAAAATAAGTAAGAAAAGTGAAGAAAGCAAGCAAAGAAAAATAGAAAGAAAAAAGAAAGGAAGAGAGAGTAAAAGAAAGGAAAATAAATATTAAAAATTTAGAAAGAATATGAGACAATAATAACGAAGATGACAGAACAAGGCTATAACGCTTTTAAGAAAGAAAAGAAAAGAAAGAAAGAAAGAAAAGAAAGAAAGAAAGTAAGGAGAAGTAAAAGACAAAAGGTAAAATAAGGAAAGGAAAGTGATACGAACGAAAAATAAGAAAGAAAGAAAGAAAGAAGAAAGAAAGAAAGAAAGAAAGAAAGAAAGGAGAAGTAGAAGACAAAAGGTAAAGGAAGAAAAGGAAAGTGATAATAACGAAAAATAAGAAAGAAAGAAAAAAGAAAGAAAGAAAATGAAAAACAAGGAAGGGAAATTGATAAGAACGAAAAATAAGAAAAGTGAAAAGAAAGAAAGAAAGAAAGAAAGAAAGAAAGGGGAAGTTAAAGACAAATGAAAAATAAGCACAAGAAAATGATAATAACGAAAAATAAGAAAGAAAGAAAGAAAGACAGAAGGGAAGAAAGGAAATGGAAGACAAAGGAAAAATAAAGAAACTGATAAGAAAGAAAAATAAGAAAATTGAAAAGAAAGAAAGAAAGAAAGAAAAGGGAAGTTGAAGACAAATGAAAAACAAGGATAAGAACGAAAAATAAGAAAAATGAAAAGAAAAAAAACAAAGCGAAACGAATGTAAAAAGAATGCTATAAGAAAGAAAGAAAGAAAGAAAGAAAGAAAGAAAGAAAGAAAGAACGTGTGGGTGTGATGAAGAACAAGAAAACTAAATACAACCTCGAAAAACTAAAGAAAAAAAAGGGAAAGAGAAAGAAAAGGAAAACATAATCGAAAGAGAAAACAACGTAAGTAAAAAGCAAAAAAAGATGACTAAAGAAATTTGGAAAAAGAGTATAAAATTATGAGAACGTTGAAGAATAAACACAATCGCTTCTTATCTTGAATTATATCCCTTCTTGAAAAAAAAATCCCCATAATTTACTGCCCTTTGACATATATTAGTTTTTATAAATTTTTAATTCATCCATCTTTTTTTTTCGAAGGACTATTCTTTTCTGCTTCCGTTTCTAAACTTTTTTGTAGATCTGGCTTACGTTCGCCTCCTTATCTATATTCGACCACGCTCAGACCCACAAATCTCGTTCTCATTTCCCGATCTCGTGTTTTGATTTCAAATCTCGCATTTTCTCGTTTCTTTTATCTAATTGAGTCCAAGTAATCTATATACAACAATGATGCTTCTTTATTTTGTCCCACTTGTTCTTGATTATTTCCCTCTTTCTTAGTCGTTTGTTCGGCAGGATCATCCTCGACACTTATCTTTTCTCTCACCATCCAACGTAGATAATTATTTTATATGTTCTTCATCTTTTTTCTTAGTTTCTCTATCATAAATAAAATCATTTTCTGCATCACTTGCCTTTTCTTATTTTCGCTTCCGTCTAACTTTTCTTCTTTCTCTCCAAACTGCCACCCACGCCTCTCTTTTTACTTCATTGCTTCTTTGTTCTGCCCAACCACGTTTTTTTTTCTTTTTTATTTTCTTTTTTTTTTCTTTTTTTTTTTCTTTTTGGTTATCCTATATTTTTCTTTGCTGGCTTCTTCCTTGCAATACTTTTTCATCTTTTTCTATGAAATCGTCTTCTTCGCTGTCTTTTTATCTTTCTTTTTTTGTTTGCTTCTATGCCTTTCAAGTTGTCGTTTTTTCTTTCTTTCTTTCTTTCTTTCTTTCTTTCTTTTTTCTTTCTTTCTTTCTTTCCACCTCTTATAATCTTTCTTTCTTTCTTTCTTTCTTTCTTTCCTTCTACCTCTTATAATCTGACTTTCTTTCTTTCTTTCTTTCTTTCTTTCTTTCTTTCTTTCTTTCTTTCTTTCTATGCTTTTCAAGTTGTTCTTTTTTCTTTCTCTCTTTCTTTCCCTCTTTCTTTATTTGTTTCTTTCTTTCTTGTCTGTTTATATTTTTTCTTTGTTTGCTTCTATGCGTTTCAAGTTGTCGTTCTTTCTTTCTTTTTTCTTTCTTTCTTTTTTTTCTTTCTTTTTTTCTTTTTTTTTCTTTCTTTCTTTCTATGCTTTTCAAGTTGTTCTTTTTCTTTCTCTCTTTCTTTCTTTCTTTCTCTCTTTCTTGTCTATATTCTTTCTTTGCTTCTATGCGTTTCAAGTTGTCGTTCTTTCGTTCTTTCTTTCTTTCTTTCTTTTTTGTCTGTTTCTTTGTTTGTATGCTTTTCAAGTTGTTCTTTTTTCTTTCCCTCTTTCTTTCTTTCTTGTCTGTTTATATTTTTTCTTTGCTTCTATGCGTTTCAAGTTGTCGTTCTTTCTTTCTTTCTTTCTTTTTTCTTTCTTTCTTATTTTCTTTCTTTCGTATTTTCTTTCTTTCTTGTCTGCTTATCTTTTTTCTTTGCTTCTATGCCTCTCAAGTTGTCGTTCTTTCTTTCTTTCTTTCTTTGCTTCTATGCCTTTGAAATTATCTTTCTTCCTTCCTTTCTTGCTTTCTTTCCTTCTTTCTTTCTTTCTTTCTTTCTAATCTTTTCTGACTTTCTTATTCTCTACCGTTTTTTCTGTAGATTTCTTTTTCTCTCACTTTGTTTTTTCTCGTTTTTCTGTTTTCTCTTTCGATGTATTTTCTTTTAGCTTTCTTCGCTTGATTTTCCTGATCATTATTTTTTGTATACTTCTTTGTTGTTCTATAATTCTTCACTCGTTCTTTCTTTCTTTCTTTCTTTCTTTCTTTCTTTCTTTCTTTCTTTCTTTTGTTTTCCTCATCACCTTTCTATGTCTTCTCAACACATCTTCCCAACACATTTCTTCTTCTTCTTCTTCTTCTTCTTCTTCTTCTTCTTCCCACCTATTTTTCATGTTTCTTTTCTTCCTACTCCTTCTCTCTATTTCTTTCTTTCTTTCTTTCTTTCTTTCTTTCTTTCTTTCTTTCTTTCTGTTTGATCTCCCACCATCCCTCTACCTCCAACTCTTCTACTAAGCCCCATTTTATTCCCCTCTCTCTTTTTATCCCCCCCTCTGTATTTTTACACTTCCACCCTGAAAATTCCCTTTTTTATATGCTTCCCTCTTTAGCGTTCAATCTTTCCTTTTATCAGTTTCCTCATCTCTCATCCTCATCTTCTCCTAATCCCTCGTAACTCAAATCACAGTCTATCCGCTATTACCTTTAATTTCTTTTTTGGCATTAACTTTCCCGCCATTTGTTCCCGCCATTTGTTCCCGCCATTTGTTCCCGCCTGTTCGCAGAAGATCGTCTGGTCCCTAATTATTTAACGGCCATCTTTAGAGTCATCCATTTCCTCATTTAACAAGATTCTCATTATTATTTTCATCGCTTCATCCACACGAAAAACAATATCCCCTTATTCTAATTTCTCTCCTTCGTCTTATAATTCTCTTCATTGTGACAACTTTATACACCCTTGACAAATCCGAAAGGATTCTTATAGTTTCCAGTCATCTTTCTTTCTTTCTTTCTTTCTTTCTTTCTTTCTTTCTTTCTTTCTTTCTTTCTTTCTACAATGCAGTTTTTTCTTTTTTCTTTCTGTTTCTTTCTTCATTAGTGTAATGTGAATTTCATTTTACTCCTTTCTTATTATAACTTAATTTTTGTTTTATGTTATTTGCTTAAACTCTCCTTCTTTCTTCTTTTTCTTCGTAGTTTTTTTTTTTCTTTTTATTCTTATCGCTTTTGCTCTTTTGTTCATTATTTATTTACTTTTTTACTTTTTTCTTTTTTCTGTCTTTCTTTTTTCCGTATTTCTTTAATTCTTTTCACTTTTTCTTTCTTTCTTTTTTCTTTCTTTCTTTCTTTCTTTTTTCTTATTGCTTCATACTTTATACTTTTTTAACTTTTTATTTCTAAGTTTTTGTCTCTCATAGACCATCCTCTTTCTTTCTTTTTTCTTTTCTTTCTTTCTTTCTTTCTTTCTTTCTTTCTTTCTTTTTTCTTATTGCTTTCATAGGCCATACTCTTTAACTTTTAATTCTAAGTTTTTGTCTCTCATAGACCATCCTCTTTCTTTCTTTCTTTCTTTCTTTCTTTCTTTCTTTCTTTCTTTTTCTTATTGCTTCTCATAGGCCATACTCTTTAACTTTTATTTCTAAGTTTTTTTCTCTCATAGACCATCCTCTTTCTTTCTTTCTTTCTTTCTTTCTTTCTTTCTTTCTTTCTTTCTTAGTAAACCGCAATTCTCTTTAGTCTTTCTGTCTTTTTCTTCATTATTTTATGAATGTTTTCTTTTACTCGTTCTTTTTCATTATTTTATCTTTATTTTTCGTTAATTTTTTCGTTTTGCTCTTCATTCTTTTTCTCGTTTTTTTTTACTTCTTTTCTTTCTTTCTTTTTTCCTTTCTTTCTTTCTTTCTTTCTTTCTTTCATTCCTATTAAAACAAACTTGTACTCTATTTCCGTTTATTTCTTCATTACTGTAATGCGTGTTTTATTTTCCCCATTTTTTCCTCGTTTTTTTCTTTATTTTTGTTTTGTGTTTTTTGCTTAATCTCTCCTTCATTCTTCATTTTCTTCGTCCATTTTTGCTTTCATTAATTCTTTCTTTTCCTGTTTTTCTTTCTTTCTCACGTATTTATTTATTTGTTTGTTTGTTTGTTTCTTTCTTTCTTTCTTTCTTTCTTCTTTCTTTCTTTCTTTCTTTCTTCTTTCTATCTTTCTTTCTTCTTTCTTTCTTCTTTCTTTCTTTCTTTCTTTCTTTCTTCTTTCTTTCTTTCTTTCTTTCTTTCTTCTTTCTATCTTTCTTTCTGTCTTTCTTTCTTTCTTCTTTCTTTCTTTCTTTTCTTTCTTCTTTCTTTCTTTCTTTCTTTCTTCTTTCTATCTTTCTTTCTTTCTTCTTTCTTTCTTTCTTTCTTTCTTTCTTTCTTCTTTCTTTCTTTCTTCTTTCTTTCTTTCTTTCTTTCTTCTTTCTTTCTTTCTTTCTTTCATCTTTCTTTCTTCTTTCTTTCTTTCTATCTTTCTTTCTTTCTTTCTTTCTTTCTTCTTTCTTTCTTTCTTTCTTTCTTTCTTTCTTTCTTTCTTTCTTTCTTCTTTCTATCTTTCTTTCTTTCTTCTTTCTTTCTTTCTTCTTTCTTTCTTTCTTTCTTCTTTCTTTCTTTCTTTCTTTCTTCTTTCTTTCTTTCTTTCTTTCATTCTTTATTTTCTTTTCTATATCTTTTACTTGTGTCTCTATGTCTTAATTGCAATCTCCCGTTGTATTTTTTTTTCTATATCTTCTTTTCTTTTTTTGTTAATTTGTTCTCCTTCTTCCGTCTTTCGCTTTGTATCTTTTATTAGGTTGTGCAAAAAATAATGTCGTTTTTTGACGTTCAACTTAACGTCAAACAACGACATTATTTTTGCACCAACCTAATAATATTCTTATTCGTTATTTTTTATTCTCCCATTTTTTCGTTTTTTTTTTTCTTCTTTTTTTCGATTTCTTTCTTCTTCTTCTTCATTGCTGCTACTTTGTATCTTTCGATCACGGTTTCCTTGTCTATTTCTTTCTTTTTTCACTTGTTCATTTGTCTTTTGCTTCTTCTTTATTCGATATTTATTTCATCAGTGTTTTTCCTTCTTTTAATTTCTTCTCTTCATTTTTCTTTCATACGTTACCTTTCTTTTTTTTTTCACTTTCCTTTATTTACTTATCTTCCTTCCTTCTCCGTTCTTCCCATCTCCTTTTTATATCATACTTTTATTCTTCCATCATACTTCCCGCCTTCCAACTCTCCCTAAAACCGTGCCTAAGCCCGCCAAGTTCCGTTTTTGCCTGTGCATCCAGATGTTGCCGAGACAGGCCCATGTCATTCCTATTTCGCTCGTCATTAAACACGCTCCTCCTCTTCCTTCTTTTAAATCTTTTTGAACGTTATTCTACTTTCATTTTCACTTTCACTTTTACTCTCTTTCCTTTGTCTGCTCTTTATATTTTCGTTATCTTTCGCTCACCGACTTCCAAACACACGTTATCTCTCCTCCGCTTGCATGACTTCATTTACCCTTGGTAATCCTTCAGTCCATCTCTTAGCGAACTGGTGCCCACGCCCTTAACCTTCTACTTTTTGACATCATGGTTTTACTGAAACGATCTCTCCATCACTGTTCTCCATTTTTACGTATCAATATAATACGAAAATCATCCACACTCATTCTAACGAAATCTTGAACTTACCTCCTTAATTACTTTTATAGTTTCACTTTCACTTTCACTATGATCCACGTTATTTTTACCGTCTTTATTACTTTCTTATTTTCACTTTTACTGTCACGCACGTTATTTTCCCCCTTAATTACTTTTCATATTTTCACTTTCACTATCATTCACATTTTTTACATCTTCTTTTGTAAATTTCTTAAGCATGTGCATGCTCTTTCCTTTTATTCCATTTTTTAATCTCTCGTTGTCTTATCTCCTATTTGTATTTCTGCCTCTTTTCGCTCGTCTAGTTTAGGTCAAGATTCCCATCCTTCTCTCTCTCTCTCTCTCTCTCTCACTCTCTCTCTCTCTCTCTCTTTACATTTATCTAATATCTTATTTAATAACACATTGTCTTTGGCATCTCCCATGCTTTCTTTGCTTTGGTTACCTTCTTCCTCCACGTCGCTATACTATTAGTTCTTACGTAAATTCTCCATCTTTCTTTCTGTTATTTTCTACGTTTCTCATTTCTTGTTTTTCCTTTCTTTTCTTTTCTTTGTTTTTTTCTTTCTTTTACTGACATTTCCTGCTACAATTCTTCTTTCTGCCAACCATTATTTCTGCTACTCTTTGTGTGTATCTTCCTTTGTTTTAGACAGCCTTTCTTTTTATCCATTTTTTGTTTGTGTTTGTTTGTTTGTTTCTTTCATTCATTCTTTCTTTCTTTCTTTTAATGACATTTCTCTACTAGAATTCTTTTTTCTGCTAACCATTATTTCTTCTACTCGTTGTTTCTTCCTTTCTTTCAGTCAGTCTTTCTTTTTATCCATTTCTTGTTTCTTTCTTTCTTTTTTCTTTCTTTCTTTCTTTCATTCTTTTTTCTTTCTTTCTTTCTTTTTTTCTCATATTTTTCTTTAAACTTATTTTGTTTTCTCCTTCCTCACAGTGCCACTGTCTTAGTATCCTTCTTTTTATCCATTTCTTTCTTTCTTTCTTTTACTGACATTTTCCTGCTACAATTCTTCTCTCTGCCAACCATTATTTTTGCTACTCTTTGTTTGTATCTACCTTTGTTTTAGACATCCTTTCTTTTTATTCATTTTTTGTTTGTTTGTTTGTTTCTTTCTTTCTTTCTTTCTTTCATTCTTTCTTTCTTTCTTTCTTTTAATGACATTTCTCTAGTAGAATTCTTTTTTCTGCTAACCATTATTTCTTCTACTCTTTGTTTTTTCCTTTCTTTCAGTCAGTCTTTCTTTTTATCCATTTCTTGTTTCTTTCTTTTTCTTTCTTTCTTTCTTTCATTCATTCATTCTTTCTTTCTTTCATTCTTTTTTCTTTTTTTTTTCTTTCTTTCTTTCTTTCTTTCTTTCTCATATTTTTCTTTAAACTTATTTTGTTTTCTCCTTCCTCACAGTGCCACTGTCTTATTATCCTTCCTTTTATCCATTTCTTTCTTTCTTTCTTTTATTGAAATTTTTCTGGTACAATTCTTCTTTCTGCCAACCATTATTTTTGCTACTCTTTGTTTGTTTCTTCCTTTCTTTTAGACAGCTTTTCTTTCTATCCATTTTCTTTCTTTCTTCTTTCTTTCTTTCTTTCTTTCTTTCTTTCTTTCTTTCTTTCTCATATTTTTCTCTAAACAATATTTTTTCTCCTCCTTCTCTTTCTCCTCCGATTTCATTAGGTTTCTACATGTTTTTTTCTTTCCTTCTAACACTTTCTTTGCTTCTCTTCTCTTACTTTCACGTTCCTTTTACAATCAACTTCATTTTTTCTTCCTTAAACTATTCTTCAACTTTCTCTTTAGATTTTGTTGATTTTTCAATATCTTCCCAATTAGATAATCAATAACTTGCTGTCGGCCATTACTAATCATAACCTTGAAGATCTCAATACCAAATACCATAAATTTCGCTATAGAAATTTATCAAACTTACTCGAGTAAAAGAGCAAATACCATTTGATTTTTACCAACTTTAAATTAGTAAAGATAGATAGATAGATAGATATGAGCACGAAGATAGATATAGGCTCCGTCAGGCTGTCTTGCCCAACACACCAATGCTACTATGACAGCAGTATATGTGATGCTCCTACGATCCTCAAGGTTACGGTATTCGTCATTGGATAGCGGCTTGGATTGAGGAATCGGAGAGCTGACTTCGAATTCCAGTCGAGTTCATTACATTCACTTACGTGCTATTACGTGTTAAGATATGAATACAACTTTTCCCCCAGTTATGGGTAAAATAGTAGGATAGAATAGGAGAAGGTAGCAAGGAGAAGGAAACTTTAAACCAGCCTGCTGTCTTGTAGGTCCTGCTTCCTTAGGCAATGGTTAGAAAAGGGTATCTACAAAAACAAATCCATCCCAGAAATCGTCTTGAATGAAGGAACCACCCCACTCTACATCGAGCCGCGACAGAAAACAATGGAATTAATATAGGGCGACCCAAAAAAACGGGAACTTTATAACAATCCAATAAAACTAAGAATGATGGAAGAAAAATATTTTACTCATAGTAATTGAAATCTTAAAACATGCCATTTAAGAAAAAATGATGGAATTTTCATTTTTTAAAAATTACGTCCTGTAGATGGCGTACTCCTGTAGGAATGCATTCTTGAAATTTGCTGTTGAGATTCCTCGTTGACTGCTGCAACCTCTCAGCTGGGATACTGTGAATTTTATCTTGAATTCTAAATGGCGAAATGTTTACTCGCTCAAGGTCACTGTCTCGCAGTGTTGCCACTTGCTCATGTCTGGCAATAGGCACTTCGAAAATTCCCGTTTTTTGTGTCACCCTGTACAAGGATTTGTACAAACACAAGACTGGGACATAGTACAGCACCGTGGAGCTCTTTGATTTTGAAACCTTTGCCAACCACGGTACTTTAACAAATATCGGCCATTTTGGATTTTGGAAAAAAAATGGTGATTTTATAAACGTCGCTTAGCTGTGGCACAAAACCAAAAGAATGGTTACCAAGTGAGGATCGAACTCAGTATTCATTCGTAATTAAACTAACGAGACAAACTTGTTAACCATTACACCACATTTGTCTAGTACGTCTCAAAGACAAAAATCAACGATCTTACAGTAGATGTATTAAAAAAAAATAATCGCGTAGTAAGGAACAAATTCAAATATCCACTCTTTCGCTGTAGTAATTTACTCTCTATAACCTAGTAAAGCACAAGGCCGAATATCTGGTATTTCACTATAGCAATTTACTGACCATAGCCTAGTTAGACACAAGGCCAAATGATTTAAATTTCGGTGGAGAAATATACTGACTATCACCCAGTAACGAACAAGGCCAAATATCTGCTTTTTTCACTCTGAGAATTTACTGACTATATCACATTACGCCACAAGGCTAGATACCTGCTATTTCGCTATGGCAGTATACTGGCTATAACCTAGTAAGGCACAAGGCCAAGTATCCGAATACAGAAAGAAATAATGTAAGAAAGAAAAGAAGAAAGAAAAAGGGATGAAAAACGAGTGATTAAAAAAAACCCAGAGGTATTAAAGAATGAAAGCATGCACAAAGATGGCGGTTTTTCTTTCGCACTTATCCCAACCATCTCTATCCCACTCTTGGATTTGATGTCCTCTAAAACCCCGATCCACCGTCAGAATTCGATTCTCCCCAAAACCCACCGTTTCCATTCCGATAACCCGGAAAAGTGAGTCTGGAAGGTTCTAGGCTATAATCGGCGTAATCAGTCAATCCCATAATCCTTCGTTCTACCCCCTTGGCGTCTCGTGGCTAATGGCGATGGCCCTCGGGATAAGGGTGGGTGCACTCTTGAGCGGGCTTAAGGTGAAGTATGAGGCAGGACGGGTGGAAACACAATGTAAGCGAGGGTGATTGGAGGAAATCGATGTTGTAAAATGTAAGGAATTATGTAAAAATAAAATTGGAAAATGTGTCATTAATCGCGAATAGCGAATGAAAAAACTGGATGGCAGGGTTGAGAGAGAGACAGGCAGATAGAGAGAGAGAGAAAGAGGGGGAAAGGAGAGAGAAAGGGAGATAGAGAAAGAAATAGAGGTAAAATGTGAAAGATAGAGAGAATTAGAATGAGTCAATGAGAGCTTGACAAAAGATAGATAGATAGATAGATAGATAGATAGATATTGAAAATAGACAGATAGATAGATAGATATATAGATAGAGATGTTCAGATAGATATGAAATGATGTGTAGAGATTAAACAGATATGTTATAAGAATATATATATATATATATATATATCGAGAGAGATTGAGGAAGATGGGTAGATAGATAAATGTAAAATAGAATGTATATATATATATATATATATATATATATATATATATATATATATCTTATGTATATATAAGTCTCTCTCTCTCTCTCTCTCTCTCTCTCTATATATATATATATATATATATATATATATATATATATATGTATATACATTTCTTATTAAGATATTATTCTTATTATAAAAGGCACCAGAAGTGTTCAAACAAAATGGCTATTTTTTGTAGTGATTCATGTTATAATTTTCGAATAATAAAATGTATATATATATATATATATATATATATATATATATATATGCACGTGCATGTGAGTAGAGAGAAAGGGCAGATGAAAAGAGAGAAATGGCTAGATAGACAAGTATGAACTACCTGTGATAGATAGATAGATAGATAGATAGATAGATAGATAGATTGGTAGAGAAGGGGTAAATAGATAGAAAAAATTAGAGGGAATCAATGAGTGTTTGACAAAACATTGTTAGATAGATATATAGAGAGAGAAAGAGAAAGGGAAAGAGAGGGAACGAGAGAGTGGGGTTACAATATGTATGATAGAGATAATTAGATTGAATCTACGAGCGTCTGACAAAGGACTGACAGACAGAGTCGCATATATATATATATATATATATATATATAAAGACATCTTTATGTTTATACATTCTTTTTATAGATACAAATATTTAAGTAAATAAGTTAAGTTTATAATAAACAGTATTAAACAACATTTACCGGCCTGAATATCCGAGAAATTTTCATAGAACATATTCGTCCTCCGGCAGGAATCGAACCCGTATCCTATACGAAACCGTCATATAATCTGACGTGCCTTCCCCGATAGAGCCACAGAAGATCGTTCGGTTAGCAAGGTCGATCCTTTGTCCATTTCATAATGTGTGACGTCATTTGTTTACATTTGGATACGCCATGAGCAGATATGAATGTACGTGAGAGAATCATGGAAGATTGTAGTTTAAAAGCAGTAAAATCAACCTATGTATGATAGAGAGAAAAAGAGTAAATCAACGAAAGTCTGAAGAAAGGATAGATAGATAGAGAGAGAGAGAGAGAGAGAGAGAGAGAGAGAGCGAAATAGAAGTCGGGCGACCTGCTGACCGGCTGATCGGTTGAACTCTCTGCCTTCGGGCGGGGAGAAACCCGAACGAGGCTACGTCGAAGAACGGAGTCTCTTTCTGGAAGGTAAACCGAACCTGAACCCGTTTATACGGGTTCAAAGGACCTGTTTTTGGCCGAGCCCATGGGCTCGGAGATCCCACGTTAAACTGGCCTTGTGCCACATGATGACCTCGTGGCGGGGTGACTAAATACTGTTCAGTCTGAAGTCTGGAGTGAGGTCCGTCAAAAGTCCGTCAGGAGTCTGTCAGTCAGAGCGAGCGAGTCAGTCAGTCGAGTCAGAGGCAGTCCGAAACAGAGTCGGGTTCAAACAATTACTACTAAACCTGATTGTTCGTACTAACACTTTTCTACCTCTCTGTATATATTCCTGGATATATTTGTAGGATATATAATATATCTTATGCCATATACGTGTTCGAGTTCTTCTTTATTGGTTCTACCTTGGACTATCACCGTGGTACAAGGAACCGGACCATAACAGAGAGAAAGATAGAGCGATAGAAAAAAGGGTGAAATCTCCATACGAAAGTCATTTCGAGAGAAAAAGAAGAGAAAAAACACGAAATAAAGCGAGAGAAAATACGACAACGGAATATATCATATTAAAGTCAGTAAAGAAAGAGAGAGAGAGAGAGAGAGAGAGAAAGAGGGAGAGAGAGAGAAATGGTGGAATACCTCATACCAAGTTATTAAGTAATGAGAGAGGAGGTAGGATGTGTAACAAACCCCATAAAGTCAGTAAGTCGTAAAGAGAGAGAGAGAGAGAAGGAGAGAGGAAGGGAGAGAGAGAAGAGAAGAGAGGAGAAGAGAAGGAGAAGACAAGAGAAGAGAATGAGGGAAAGAGAGATTAAACAAATGTTAGCAAGAAAAAGAAAGAGGTATAACAAAATTGGACCAATTCACAGATGAGTCATTTAGAGAGAGACGTAGAGAGAGAAAAAGAAAGATAGTGAAACACCTCATACAAAAGTATTAAGGATTAGAGAGAGAGGGGGGAGGAGAGAGTGAGTGAAAGAAAAAAATAGTGGAACGCATCATACCAAAGTATTAATGATTAGAGAGAGAAAGTGTGTGAGAGAGAGAGTGAGAGAGAGCGAGCGAGCGAGAGGGAGGGAGTGGTGGAGGGAGAATGTTGAATGCAAAGCATAATGTTCAAATGTAACTTTATTGAACTTTTCATAAGAATAGAGGATGGAGAACTGGAGTAAGTCCAGGAATACACCTACCGAGGGCAGATTATAAGATTAATGTATGGCCCTGGTAATGAAATAAAAGGAAACCTAAAGGTTTATTGGATGTCAGTTAATAAATATATAATCAAAAGCCCTGCTCCAATATAATTAAAAGTATAAATTTAATGTATAAAGACAATTTCGACGTGCGGTTGAGTAATATTGAAATTAACAAAATAACCTGAAAATAAACTCAGAAAACGCAAAAAAATAAAAGAAAGACCAATGCATTGTGATACAAAGAATTAAGTGTAATACTATCATCAAGTACAGACAATTAAATCCGCGTATAACGAGTGTAACAGTAAAATTGTCCCAATCGTTCGAAAGCAAAATTGTTCATTTGTTAGATTAAGCTTTGAGTCGTTTTATATTAAAAACGATTAAAGATATCTTACTGGAATTCTCGGAGCTTTTACAACCCTACTGAACTCTTCACTGAGCAATGTGAATAAATAATTACTATCCAAGGTTAACAGAGGAATCGTGATGAAATCGATCATAAACGAAAAATGCCATGTTCATCATTAATTAATCATAGCTAAGGTTCGGAAGCTCATAGAGTATTGAAATAAAGTTATATATATATATATATATATATATATATATATATATATATATATATATATATATATGTGTGTGTGTGTGTGTGTGTGTGTGTGTGTGTGTGTGTGTTAATGTCATTTTCCAAGTTATTCAAGATTATCTTTGCCCTCTCTAACCTTCAAACTTTCTGTCGTGGAGTATCTCACACGTTTCACGTACGATTTCATTTTCAAATTTTTCACAACTCTTTGAACTGTCATTGCTGAAACTCTTCCCTCACGTGAGAAACGTCTTATCGGTTCTTTTCTCGGTTGAAATGATGATCCCTCTTCCTGTGATGACATCGTGATCCAATTTTCCTTACAACTGTTCCCTCTTTTTTTAAGCCTATTCACCGTTCTCTTGGATGGACTTTCAAGATGGAAAGCCTGAATGATCTTTTTCCTCTCACCATTACTCAGTTGGTATGACATAGTGGAGCTGACACAAAATGATTTTAACGTGTTCTCTTTTTAGCTGAATAATTCAACGGTTTTTTTTTCAGTGATTACGACAAATGTTATCGAGATGGCTAAAGGTCTTATCTGAAAACCTGGAAAAAATAAACACGTTTAGTTTATTGGTGTTTTAGATATTAAACATTTTGTGGGGTGAACACTTATCCCATGCTGTTACACGATGTGAACACTTTTGATGTTAGACACGTTATGTAACATTGGACTTCAAACGTCACCAACCAGCGTCGACCAGTTGCTGCGTAGCGTTCTCTGAAGTTGGATACTATATTTGTCTATCAGATTTTCTTTCCTCTGGCCAGGGTGTTTATACATCTGCCTCTCATTGTCTTTCCTCCACGTGTTCACATTCTCTGCGCAGTTGGGTCGGTCACATTTTCACATATCTAGAAAGCCAGTGACATCGAATGAATCACAGTACCCCACACTGAGGTAGACGGTTATTCACCCCAGGTCAACCCTGGTTCTATTTTGACGTGATCTGAGTTTAGCCTATGCAAGCTTCAAATCGACTACAGGCCACAATAAGTGATATTAAAGAAATGATTAAGTGTTTAAAATGGAGCTCGATGGCAATCAGAGCAAGAAGATAGGTGGAGTAAAACTTTAGTAGAATAGTGTTTAATACATAACAAACGGAGTAGGAAAAGCCCAGTCAAAAAAGAAAAAAGATGCTATATAAAGATAGTTGCTGGTATCAAGTGGCATAGACTAGAAGTTGTGTAGAGTTAGCATTAGCTCTTAGCTGCTCACTAAGTTCTTAGTGGTTGTCGAACTCTCTGCCTTCGGTCAGAGAGGGACCCAGACGAGGCTATGCCGAAGGACAGAGTCTCGTCTGGGGTGGTAGATAGCTATCCGACCCCATGTCTACGGGGTCTACAGGGAATTTTTTGGCTCGGTTTTGTCCCGCTTCGCGGGCATATACGGTAAATAACCTTGCTTCGGAAATTAGTTGGAGATTCGTCTCCAGCTGTCGAACTCGGCCTTCTGGCAGAGAAGAACCCAAACGAGG